TTACTATATATACAATATCACTCTAACATAGACAAACCTTAAAACATGCCAAGTGAAAGTGGCCAGTCATAAAAGAGCACACACGTTTAGGATTTCATTCACATGGGATGTACGGAATAGACAAACTGATAAACAAAGGAGATTAGAGATAGTATACTGAGGAAACACCATGACAAAGGGGTGGGGTCGATAGGTAAAGGGCTTAGGGCTTTTGAGGTGTCCTAGGCTGGTGACTGCAGACATCTGCAAAGTCATATGTTAAAGTCACTAAGTTATAGACGTGAAAAACCTGAACTCATAGTTTATGAGTTCTCACTTACTAAATCTGTTAAAAACAAGAAACCACCATTGTTTTCTCTCCCTGACAACTGCAAATGGTAGCAAGAGCAAGAGGGAGCCTCAACATGGTGAGGTCATAAACACAGAGGTAATCAAACAAATGTAAGGTTAACTCTGCCAGAGAACTGACCTGGATCGGCTTTAAACCAGGATTACAAACTGGCCCATATTGCTAGTTGTCTGATATAATCTAAAGTCCTGATCATGGCTGACTCTGATCTAATAGCTGCAGAACACACATTCTGTTTAGTCTGTCCCAGGACCACCCTATATAGTGGTCCATATGATAAGTTAATGCGTTAGTAAATAGAGCCTACTGACAAGAGACAAATGATTATAAACATCATCAGCAAACAGTGAAATACGTTCTTATCAATGCACAAAGCTTTCAGAGTATGTTCTGTAGCAGGTTTTACGTTATGGATAGAGGTGCTCCCCGTAACTTATCTTTAAGGGTGTTTGTTGTCACTGCTGTTGATTGAGACAGGGTCTCACTGAGCAGCGCTTGCTGGCCTGGAGCTCACTATGGAGCCCTGGCTGGCCTGTAGCTCACAGACATCCACCTGTCCTTAAAGTTTTACAAGCAATTGTGCAATAAATGAAACAAAAAGAGGCAGACCAACGCTTCCCCGAGACTTACCTGCAGTGCAGAAAGAGCAACGGCACCACAGAGACATATGAGTGGGTACACGGGGAAAAGAAACCGTTCCTCTTTGTGAGGTTGGATGAAGAAAATTATGAACCAAATGTACATGGGTGCCAAGGTAAGCCAGTATGGGTGTCCTAAATTCTGAACTGCAAGACAAAATAACATTCCCCTGTCATGTAAGAGAACCAAACAATATACTGTTTCAAAGTTTGTTTTTATTTAAATTTGATACTATGTCCTAGGACATCCCATAAAATATTTCAGCTTAGGAATTTACCCTCATTCTAACATAATGGGGACACCAAACGGAAAGGAACATACTCCTGAGTTCTTCCCAGACATCCAAAGCTTAGAGGGAGGGACAAGAGTTAAAACTCACAGGAAAGTATAGTTAATGGGTAACAGAGCTTAATAAATTCTAGTTGGGTAAAGATAAAAGGCATATTCTCTGTAATGCGTTCTGCCACTAAGACTAAAGGTTCCCCCAAATTAGCCAAATCCACTTTGAGTAATCCTTTTATCCACACACCAGTGGGTTTGTTAAAATAGGCACAGATGAAAGAAAGAAAAGGAGGAAGGAGGGAAGGAAAGAAGGAAGGAGGGAGGAAAGGAGGAAGGGAGGATGGAAGAGAGTAGGGGGAGAAGAAAAGAAAGGAAGAAAGGAAAGAAAGAAGAAAAGATTGATCAGGTCAATTCTTGAACCTTATTCATCAAGCCCAATCCAGTCTGCTATGTTTTGTTCTGTTGTTCAAAGTGGAACCAAATGCCTCATTCTCTGGAGTGCTAGGATTACAGGAGTGTTACCATGTTTAGTAACAGTGTTTCAAAGCAAACATAAAAATACTCTAAGTTTCCTGATTATGTTTTTTCTTTACAATACACATCTACTCTGAATCACAAAATTGGAACCAACACGTACTTAAAGACTCTGAAAGGATGAAAGGAACACAGAGAACAACCTGAGCACCTCCTGGAGAGTTCCCCGCATTACAAGAGCACTGAGGAATAGGCAAGCATGCTGGGTTGGCATTACTGACCATGGGGGAGGGCTGCAGAAACACTGTCAAGAAGTGGACAGACAGCACCCCCTGCTGTTCATTTCGTCCACAGCGTGACAGGCAAGAGCCCTCCCGCTGTCTGACGTGGCTTTGCTAGACTACAGGTGCAACCACAGCACTCTTTGGAGGTAAACACTCCTGACCTTGGGCCAGTGAGAGGGCTCAGCCGGTAATAAGATTTGCCCTGCCATATAAACTTCACAACCTGAACTCAATCCCAAGATCCCACAATGGAGAGCGAAAACCGCCTCCTACAAGTTGTCCTCTGGCCTCCACAATATACACTCCCCCAACATACACACACAAGTAATTTTCTAAATCTTTTTAAATAAGTGAAGATCCCCTCACTGTCTAGACAGCACATGCCATATAAACCAATAACAAGAAAAGCTGAACAGGCGAGAAGGAAAGATCAATCATCTGGCACACAAATCCAACTGAGATGTCTCCTGGTAAATCTTTGCAAATCTCCCCTGAATTTCTGCTCAGATCTGTCTTCCAGAGTGCAGACACCAGATGTCCAGCTCCACCACTTGAGGAAAGAGCAGCTGAATGACACAGGGTCAGAGCTGCAGCAACATGGGCGCCACACAGCAGAGGGAGCCAGGAGCATCGGTCCCCGGCCAGTGCAGAGCAGCTGCTTTAGCTCCAGCTTCAGAGTGTCTGCCTGCAGACGGATCACTGTCAACAGTCATCCCAGAGCCTCCACAGGGGAATGGCTCAAAAGGGCTGCTCTCCGGAGCTTTTCCAACATTGCTGTTTCTCCGGTGATGGTAAAATCCCACTGACCTCCTTCCCTTCAGGCATTGGTTCTCAACCTTCCTAATGCTGTGACTCTTTAATACAGTTCCTCATGCTGTGGTGACCCCCAACCATCAAATTATTTCATTGCTACTTCATAATTGTAAATTTGCTACTTTTATAAACTGTAATGTAAATATCTGATATTCTACCCCAAGGGATCACGACCCACAGGTTGAAAACCACTGCCTTAAAAGGATACAAAGCCCCATCTTGTTTATATCAAACAATTAACCAACCCTTAATATGGGTTCAAATAATCTACAAATACAGACTGAAATTTCAGTTATTCAACCATTTCCAAAGAGAAAAATGGAGACTAAAATAAGCAGTTTTTCCACTATTTAACCTGTTACTTGCTTTCTGTTCCCTCCCCCAAAACCTACCACCATCCTAAATCACTCACCATGGAATCTCTGCAGCAGGTACTCCATAAGAAAAGTCAGTGGCAAGACCAGAAGCGCCAAAGCAAAGGCAACATTGAAATTCAGAAACCCGTTGATTAAGTAGAAATACCATGGTTCTGTACCTGAGGGAGACAAATAGGGAATCATTACTGACGCCTTCAACACCAGCTACAGTATTTGACCTTTACTGTTTTCTGCTCAAGAAACACTGACAACCCAACACTCAACGAAAATCCATAAGCCTACGCTTTCTTTAGTGCTCAGGCACACACGGGAAGCACAAGAGCGGAAGACAGGAAACAGACTGGTTAAGATGCTTTGGACGGGAATTATTGGGTTTTAATAATTTCACGTTATTCCTACCGGTAGGAATTTAGTCCATCTACTCCTCTACCATAGAAGACGCAGAATTCCTCTCCTCTAGAGGGTCCAGTAACTTGGTGCCACTGCAGAAGCGTAGGCTCAGCTCTCACCAGCACTCAAGCTTAAGAGCTTTCATGCTGGGCTCCTGGGCTCCAGGAAGAAGACATTTCTGTTCTTCGTAAATTACCTACTCCCAAATGCCATGCCCAAATGGGACAGTTTCTCTAGTATTAATAGCTTAAGAGCACACAGCACATAAAGCTAAAAAAATTTTAAAACATCATTTGCACTTAACTGCAGTTTCTGTACTCTGTAGACCAAATAACAGATAAACTTGCTTGGAGCCATGCAGCCCCTTGAAAAATTCAACTCCTATTTTATAGTCACACACATAGGGCACCATGTGTTTCATAAAAGGCAATAACTCAGGGCTAGGGATATATATAGTTCAGTGGTAGGGTACTTGCCTAGTATGTATGAAGCCCTGGGTTCAGTCCTCAGTAGAGCCAGATACACACACACACACACATACACATTTTTGCTAAATACATATTTAGCAAAAACAACAGCTTAGCATGATTTTTGTGTGTGTTTCTGTGTATGTTTGTGTACAGGTGCCCACTGAGGCCAAAAGAGGAAGTCAAATGCCCTAGAGCAATGGTTCTCAACCTAGGGGTTGGGAAACCCTTTCACAGGGGTTGCGCATAAGATATCCTGCATACCAGATATTTACCTTATGATTCATAACAGTAGCAAAATTACAGGTATAAAGTAGCAATGGAAATAATGGTCAGGGGTCACTACAAATGAGGGACTGTATTAAAAGGTCACAGCATTAGGAAGGTTGAAACCACTGCCCTAGAGCTACAGGGGGTTTTAAGCTGCCTGTCATGGTGTCAGAAACCAAACTCGGGTCCTCTGCAAGGGCAGCCGACACTCTTAACCACTCAGCCATCTCTCCAGCCTCCCCAGCTCCCCTCCCCCATTAAGGTCAGAGATCCAGGTCCTACTCAGAACTCAAAGGATTCAGAATGAACCAAAATGGCTGAAACACAAGTCTCACTCACACTAGTTTTTATTCTATCCTTAGACCTGAAATATGAACTAGCTCTCCTCCCTGCACATTTACCATTTTCTCATCTGCTTTCCCTCTGTATGATCACTTCAATCAGGCAGTGAATGACACGTGTAGGTTTTAATCAGTGTGTGTTGTGACATCTGCCTTGCACCATAGCAATTTCCTGCAATCAGCTTTGCTTACAGGGTAATCAGGAGGCAGAGGCAGAGGCAGAATCAGAAAAACCTGACTCTTGTAGCTTGCACAGCAAACTAAGGTTAAACTAAAATCATAGCGTTAGAGACACGCAGATGAGTAAGAGGGAAGCGGGTCTACTGTGGAAGGGCCCGGGTTCAATTGTGCCCCTCTGGGGAAAGCTCGTCCTATTCAAAGACAACCAAACGGCTAGGGACAGAAGCCCTGTCCCAAGCCATTCATTCGGGACATCTTTAATCTTTCATTTCTTCCCATTTAATCTCGGAGTTGTAGAAAATCTCTGGATGGTTATATTCTCAAGATAAAAAAATGTCTTCTCTGGGTTTCAAATTGGTGACTTCACAACATCAAAGCGTCCTAATGTTGGTCCCTGAGACTAGCCAACTGACAGCCAACAAGCATTTTAAAGTAAGTTACAAGTATTTTTCTTATTTGGTATCAAGAAAAATCCCACGTCAGCACTCTATTGGGCCCAACCAAAGCGGTTCTAAGATCTAACAGTAATGAGGTCCTGATTGAAACTCTAAAAATCAACCATCCATTCCTTCTTGACAACTTTTGATTGTAAACCTACAGTATACAAGGAGTTCCAACTCGAAGCTAGGATAGTATTCTCTGTAGGAAACATTAAACGAGGAGAAGCTAATACTCTTAAAGAATGTAAATCAGACTTTTAAAAAAATTGTCGCCAGTTGTGGTATTACATGGCAGTAGGATTTGCTGAACGAGGCGGAGGCAGGAGGATCACAAGTTCAAGGCCAACCTGGGCTACAGAGTGAGTTCCAGGACAGCTAGGACTAAATGGAGAAACCCTGTTTCGAAAACAAAACCAAAATTTGTCAAGTTCAAATTCTGATCAGAGTAGAATTTGTGTTCTTGGAATAGTTCTATCAAGGAATCCTTAAGGCCAGCTACCTACAGTAATACACAATCACTTTCATGGCTGCTGAGACAATCCCCACAAAGCTTTTCCACTACTGAGAGAGTAACCAGTACTCTACATCCAAAACAGCAAAAGTAAATGGAGTAAAATTAAAGCAGATTTACGAAGTGGCACACACCCCTAAGGTTCTTCTCAACAAACACTGTGTGAAATGAACAGCAGACACCAGTGTCCAAAGAACTGGACATAGCTCTACTGTAACTCCAAACCTACTGCAGGGTCCTTGACCAACCCACTATTAAACTGGAAACATCCAGTCTTTCCTCTCCACTTTCCCTACTAGCCTGATTATTTCTAGAGCTATCTAGAGGACTACAAAACCACCTCACTTCCATATTTTCTTTAAAAAGTTTAATAAGCAGTCAGACTACCCAGCATATAATGGCCCATTTATGAAAACAGAGAAGCCAGATTTTCAAAATTAACAAATTAACCCATTCACCTATAAATAATGGATAAATTTCCAATTGGGTACATGTAAATTAATTTTCACCATGCAGTCTGGACTGTAGTCAAATGAAATCGTATAAACAAACCAAACTAAGGTGCAATTTAAAATATACGAACTTTCCTTAGCTGAAGGGAGACATCTAGAGGCTCCCAAAGCAAGCTACTAGTTTAACTGGCTATGCTACCAAACAAATATTAGACATGAAAGCTGACCTAGACACAGATATAATATCAACCTGATTCCCAACAAAACCAGGACATCCGGATATACAGAGTTTTCTAGAGACACCTAGAAGATTAAAAAAGAAACTACACTAATTCCAAGGGGGTAATTTGTTCATAAAGTATTTCCTGGCTTGGCTGATCTAAAAAATCTCTAACACATCCTTCAGTAACTAACCAGCTCAAATGCACTCAGAGACTGGAGTGGTTGAGTAAGAGATGGAGGTACCCAAGTTCCTGGAGACTACATCCCAGGAGGTACAGGCATCCAGTTTTTCTTCATCTTAAACTGGACCATCTACTCACTCTTTCCTGCTGACTCTAGTCTCATTTGCTCACCTTGTAGATTTTCCAAACTTTCTTCCCCTCCCTCCAAAAGATACTAACATCAAGCCAGGCAGTGATGGTGCACGCCTTTAATCCCAGCACTTGGGAGGCAGAGGCAGGTGGATCTCTGTGAGTTCGAGTCCAGCTTGGTCTACAGAGCAAGATCCAGGACAGGCTCCAAAACTACACAGAGAAACCCTGTCTCAGAAAAACAAAAACAAAAACAAAAACAAAAACAAAAAAAAAACAACAACAACAACAAAAAAAAAAACCCTAACATCAAATGTGTGTGTATGTATAGGAAACATATGTAGGAATATACTCCTGAAAGTTAATAGTATTACATGGAGATGATGGGGCTATGTATTTATTTTCTTTTTGTTATTATATTCATTTTCTGATAATACAAAGAAGTTTGGTTTTTGTTGTTGGTTTGTACTTGTTTTTGTTTTTGAGATGT